AATTCAACATTCTAGCATTGTTTAAATATATAGCCTATACATCCTTAACTCGCACATCGTATATTCTTTTATACGAAAGATGCAATCTCTTACTTTACTTACATATACCCCGGTCGATTGCGGGGGTGGCTTACGTAACACTCGTCCGAAGAGATATTCGTGTGGGAGTGGATACACGTAATAACGTAATCTCGTTAGGGATCTCCAAGGGACTCGTCGTCTGACGAAGAGTTCGGTTGAATCGACAGCGTTGCGACACAGGGATGTTATACGAAAACACATTGTTTACCTCAGAACTTAGCGAGTCACATAAGCGTTTCTATATTAATTAAAAGCGATGGAATACGCTTGTTCATTATTATGAAGAATTACGTAAATCGTTCGAAAGATGATTAATTATAATTGTATCAGAATATATATTTTTATATTTATAACAGAATATGCAATGTCAGAATAATATTATTTTTCTCTTGTTCTTCTTCATTGTCTACTATACATATTGGATTACATATTATATAATATATTGATCGTGCACGTAATACAATAGTAACGATGATGTGAGACGGAACCAGGCGTTGTGTAAAGTATCATCTCGTAAACACGTAGCTGATGAAAAATAAAAGAGGAACGGTTCACATAAAAACGTAATTCGTGCTAGTATAACTCAAGGATGAAAGATTCTTTTTTCGAAGAGGGTTGTTGTTCCTCGGAAGCTTCCATTAAACCAGAGCACGTAGGAGTACGTATGTATGCATTACGTGTACGCCGAGGCGTAAAGAATATTTAGATCGTCAATGAGAGATGCTTTTATACTGCAGAAAATTTTTGAATTACTTTATCAGGTCTTGCATAAGTAATAAAAATTTTATAAAAATCGGGGCGAGCGTCGTTGAATTCGAAACGTTCTTTTGTGTGCTTATAGTATTAGAAGTAGACGATGCGGAGCGTAATGAGAGTTACTTAAATATGCGTAGGAAAATGAAATCAGTGTAGAGCCTCGGGATTAAATCAAGTCAAATTTAAATAACTTCATTAAGCTATGTAAATTCTTCTTTCTACATCCCTCAACGCTCATAGTAACGATACGCTTTGACGATTACACACACAAAAAGAAATAAAGTACGAAGCAGGTAAATTAAAGATCCAATTTTGGTGAAGTTTTATCGAGAATTTGCGTATCAAACGAGCCGTGACTAGTCGCACATGTCGCTATAATTTTACCAGCGCGTGCCCTAAGGGTTCCGGTGGCCTCCTCCATTCAAGGGGTGGATCGGCGTGGAAAAGACCACGGGGTTGCACGTGACCGCACCGGATGCGATTTTTTTCGTTTCGCTAGGGAATTGCCTAGGAGACCGTGTGGCTAATTCGCCGTGTTTATGTTATAATCGAGTCGTAAAGACCGATAATGTATCCAACGAATTATTCATCGTAATACGGAGGAAAATAAAATGTCAGAAAAACTTTCCACTTCTGTCGTATTTAAATATACCTCGTTCTCAACCTCGCATATTTTACCACTCGACGTCCCATTATGCCCTACTTCAGTCCACGGAATAAACATACTCGAGTAACATTCGCCCTAAACTTTCAACAGATAAATCAGGCAAGCATAGTTACAAGTTCGGGAGCTCCAGGAACCCCGGGGTTTGAACGAATTCCTCTCACGTTCGAAGATCGTCTTCCTGTTGGCAGATGCTTCCTCGTTCTCGTAGACGTCTGAATGCTGCTGCTGCCTGATTTACAACGGGCGGGACGGTGAGGGGAGGGGGGATCGATGACAACCGGTGTATACATCCGTGGAAAAGCAGCTTCCTGGGTCGGCGCAGATGCGCGTTCACGAGAACGAACGCACGTGCTACGGAACAATGGGGCAATCGCGTGCGCGGTACCGCACTATCCAGAAGAGACACTTCTGGAGGTCTCTTCTTTTAACAATGGAATCAAGGAACTTCCGAGCAATTTACATACCTTGTAAACCGAAGCTAAGATGCTGTCGAGAGGTTCACGTGCAGTCTGCGGAAGATCCTCGGATAACGGATGTCTCTTAGATATGGGCGTCGAGGGATGAAAAGGGTGCAAACCTTTTTAACTTGAATTTCAGTGAAGCGAAATGTGATGAATGAATACTTGAATATTATTGAGACAAAATGTGAAGAATGAATAATCTTTATTGATCTAAACTGTTATTTCGTGAAACAGAGCTTGTCTCTATGTACAATAGAAACGTGTTTTATATTTGTAGATCAAATAAGCAACGGAAGGAAAGATACTTCTAGTTTTATGAGCTTCACGATCTGCGATTGCTCTACAAATTTGTGGTCTGTATCGAATCAGGTAGTTTGTTTTGCTAGAAAATATTTTTGTAGTCTATTTATACTGGGATTTTACAACCCACGATTCGATATCAGCAAGCGTCAGACTCATAGCTTTAAATGTGTATCATTTATATAAACACACGATCGATACACGAATTGCAATGAAATTTTGATGTAACAACCAGTCGATACGTCGCATCGATTCCGGGAGAAAATTTTACGACAAATGGGCTTTCATTGACAGCGACGCCGTAGGACAACGGCGACAGCTGTCTGATTCAGCATCGCCGATAGATCCAGCTCAATAGGTTACAGCTCGAGCGACAGAAACGAGGGATTAAATGCGAGGATCGGAACAGGGGAAATGTGGAAATTGTAATTTCAGGATATACCCATGCCCAGAACGCATTGTTATTCCAGGTTTCGCATTGAATGCGCCCCGTTCGATTTGACCATTCCGAACACGTTATAGTGTACAGAACGAGGCAAACAACAGACGTTTAGAGTACGTGCAGTATCCTATTGCACATGTGCGAAATGATTCATAGGAGGAAGGTATCTAGGTGTGAACATCTAAATTCAGAGTACCAGGAACGAATGAATTATATAAGAAATATATTCTCCGATGCATATTGTAAGAAAAAGCCTCGAACATTTCTATTGTTCACAATTTGACTTGAGAATCTTTGCAATTTCGTTAGAGCCCCGAAAGTTTCGATCTCGTCCTAAAAAGAAGTAATCCAATCCGGCCGAAATTCCAACTCTCAAAGAAAAGAAGCGACAAAGAAAATTCTTTGACAGTTCATTCGAGGACCCCACGGTTCAGAGAAGCTGAAACGAACAAGCAGTCGCGATTCGAAAGTGCAGCTGTCGAAATCGCACACAAATCCACGGAAGAAACCAAGCCTGAGATTAAAGGGGAGGACACCGGGAGCCACCCCGACGCGATGCCCCCTTACGGCGAAACCGAAAAACGCGCACGTGCTTTTGTATAGGGTCGCAACCCCTATCTCGAACAGCCATTCCTATTGGAACTTGAAAATTAATGCACGTTGCCCCTAATCAGGCAATCGAGTCCAAGCAAACTCGTTGAAAGTTTATTGGATTCGCCCTTGCATCTACCTTTGGCCGAATTGCTAAGGGGAGAACTTTGTGGGGTGAAATTAAAAATGAAAAATATAATACCGTCTTCGAAGACGTTAACCAAAGTGAGCGCATTAATTATAAGAGTAGATATGCCCGAGGCTATTATCTTTTATACTTCTGAAGAATATTTAATTTCAAACGATAGAATAAATAACGCTTTGAACCAAACGAAGCGTGGAGGTCTCCCATTAAACTCGCCACCCTCCAGCACCTTTAAACGATTATTTCCAAGCGGCAGCGGGGCACTCGCTAACAGCTTTCAGCGGTAGAGAGGCAGAATGGCGGGGAGCGATAGGCTTCCGGGGGTAGCGTGTACGCCAATGGCTTATAGGATTCGCAGTTTAGGCTGTCAATGTTACAGACAGGGACTCTGACAGTAGCACGCGTCACGCGTGGCACACGGCGATGAATGCTCGACAAGAACGGGTCACAGTGCGTGTTACTTATGTCGACTTTCTTACCTCAGTGTCGGGCACGCCGCCAAACAGTGCACTCTTTTCTTCCAAGTATTATATATAGCCTGTTACATCGTCTTATATAAATAAAAAGTATGTTTTTATACGTGGAAGTAGGAAGAGTTTTAAAACTTTTTACAACGGTAATAAATGTTCTTCTTATCAAGAGTTATAGTGCGATGATAATTATCTGGAGTGATTAGTTTAAAGTTATTACAGTGATGGAATTGTGGTAGCAACGTTTGTAAAACTCTAATGAAGTGTGTAATAGTCATCAGGAGAATTTGTATAAATTTAATTCGCGAATTCCGTTCTCAAGATAAAATCGATCGAGATCTAACGTGGAACTCAATGTGTAGGACAGACACTGTTTTATCCGTTTTTCGAAACTGGGTAGAGACGTGTTTCACAGTTTTCTTCGCCGTCCAGCGATTCGTTATTATCACGGGGAGTGTTACGTGGAGATAGCGAAAAAGCGCGCGTCGAGCTCCAGGATCTTGACGAATGGCCACGGTAGGTTTCCGCGCTGATTTAACGCGACCAGCCGTGCAGACAGTTTTGAGAACTTTTGTTTTTCCGTTGGGACGGAGATTTATACGCTTCGCCGAGGAAAATTGGACGCCGAGGAAATGAACGGAACGAGAAAAGAGGATTACGCGTCGTGGAAACGATTAGAATGGCAAGGAAATAGTGTCGGAAATATTTGAAAGCATGCGTTTGTGGAAAATGAAATGGTTGCACGTGACAGCGAAGAAACGGCAGAGAATGTTGGTCGACAGCGGCTGACCGATTGGATTTGACTTACAATTAGACGACCGATTAAATCGATCTGTGCCTTCGGAATTTTTGTAACAAAATTTATTTCACGAGGAATGGTTGTGACTAGAAAAAGTCGACTGGCAAAGATTGTTTATTCGGAATATACAAGAATTTGAAAATATATTTTTGAAAATAAATTTTTACCGAGGACGTAGAATAATAAATTATTTATATAAGATAGAGAAAGTATTTGTGAGAAAATACTTTTGTAAAAGGACTTAGAATTTAATACATATCGAAAATATGACTGGTACCATGTAACTTCGCACAGTCTATAAACTGGTCTTGAGATTATTTAAAGAGATATAGAAGAGTAGGTACTAATTCGAAAACAGTGGATACGAGGTAGGAATCGTTCTAACATAATCGGTACCGACACCTACGCGTTCCTGAAATAAAACTGTAACGAAACTGCTCGTTCTTAAATCCTATCACGTATTAACCCGACAAGCGAAATTGGTCGAAATTACGCGAAACTATTTTCTCTTCAGAAATACCTCGAACAAGTACGGCCGCTTGGTAAATATACAATCTTCTCCATCAGGAGGAATTTTTCTTTGAACGGTAGACATCGTTCTAAATTTAAAAAAAGGAAGAAGAAGAAGAAGAACCAGGCAGAGTTTCGAGTCGATAGAGAAAACGTGCGAGAGAAGCTCGCGGTAAAAAAATCGAACTAGTGCTCCCGATACTATTCTAATCCGTTTGTCCTTGGTCGTCGAACGCCCGCCGTTGGTCGTCTACAGTTTAGACAGCCTGGAACTTGGCCGTGGCCGATTGAACGGTTTGCTGTTCACCGGAGTCTCCTCTCGTTACGGATCAACAAGCCTGAAGATATCGGAATTGAAGAAGCGGCCGCGAATTTTATTGGACGTATGAACCGTATTGTACCTCTACTTCAGTCTTCCGAAGATTATCCGGTTAATTGTTAGCGGCCGCATTCCCGTGCGAATCCTTTGAAAATTCCACGCATTACGTATGATAGACGAGACAGGTAAGAGTTTCTTTGTTTTTGTAAAATTATTTTTACCAAACATTGTATCTCATTCTTTTTTAATACAGTTTCATTGATTTATGCTCACGGCTTTTGAAAATTCAACCTGCTTTGTGTCAAACGCGTTCCCACACCCGTTACGCTCGAAACGCTGTTCGTAGGAACGAGAACAGGACCGAGGATCGTCGAACCCGGAGCGTAAAGTGGTCCTCGAGTGTCCGAGCCCACAAAAGAGCCGCTGGCCATAACCAGAAGCAGAGGCAGAAATAAGAAACAGAGGAAAATTGGTAGCACGTTATCGGTACACTCGACGCCGACGTGCACTCGAGCTCGAGGAGGCTAATTTTGAAGATTATCTCGAGAGTAGAGTCTCCATCGACGTCTGTGATGATCAACGAGCATGGCGCCAGGAGCAACGACCCTGACGAGCCTTCTGTTGCTGCTGGTGGCGATCCCGAGGTGCTCGTCGGCCGTCCTTACGAGCACACAATCGCCGTTCACGAAGATTCTGAAGGGTGTCAGGCTACCGAGCGGTTACATGGAGATAGTCCAGGAGGATCACTGTTCTCATCACGTCGTACGACTCACCTGCAGATCTCTGAAGGCGTTCATCTTCGTCCTGGAAGCAAACTACATGTCGAACCTGACCAATGTCTGTGGTTACGACGTCCAGAAATTGATGGAGAAGAAAACGTATCCGTACAAAAGAGGTAGCAGTTCATTGATCAGGAAGAAGGAACTTAAGGGCAATTACATCGACGATTCCGAAGTGGATGAACGACTCAGACCGGTGGACATTAGGCAGTCGTTGAATAGAAGGTACTCACGAGATTCACAGTCAGTTTTCTTAAACGTGGCAGAAAATAGAGTCACATCAGATAGCACTTTCTCGATTGTAAAATCGATTAGCTTCATGATTAGATCGTAGGTTCGCCGCCAGACACGTCGCTTTCGCTTATCGTTGCATTTCGACACAATGTAACCGAGTTCGTTGGTAACACGAGTCACCCACTGGGCATCCGCAACGAGCGGCGAGAGGGGTTGGGTTACCGGTACGTAGAGACCACAGACATAGATTCTCGGCCATGCCCTGGTACGAAACTCGAAGTAAGAGCAATTTCCGTCCGGTTCAAATTCAATTTATACATTACTGCTGTAGAAAAGATATAAATATTTAAATATATTTTCTACAACCGTCGTCATACTTTATATTATTTTAAAATCGTGTACGTTGCAATGATCTAACTAACGTTTCGCATTGCACCTTGAGTATATGTATACATATTTTACATCTTATATATTATAATCCAGACTTCATGCTACGTACTATACATAATATCGTACTTGAGCTTCATGTGCTACATTTGATCTGTCGTTTCCTGTTTTACTTTCTACGTTGCATTTTCTAAACTTCATATTCGAGTCCTTGCGCTTGAAATGCCGTGAACCGGGGCGTGAACAGAGGCCGACGAAAGTAAATGCAGCAGAAATCGGACTTCCTCTTTGCCGTCGCAAGAAAACCACCCCTCTGTCGTGAAACGAAGTTTGGTTCTTTGTCACCCGTAGACCCAGCCGGGAACGCTGTGTGTCTTCGAGGGTGGAAACGAAATCTCGACACGCAAAATCGCCGTTTGATGTGCGCCAGCAAAGCGTAGGGCGCATGGTGAAGTTTTTAATTGCCTTTTGAGCGACGTTCGATGGCCGGCGAAGGAGAAATCGTTTCCAGGAGAGCGCATCGTGCGCGAGGAACACAGCTCGATGAACTTTGTAAATATGCAGGAGGGGTCGCGGTCACCAGGCGAAGGGAGTTACCCTCTCTTCGGGTCCTAGTTCTGGGCATCTTGGACCGATTTGACCGAGAACATGATATTTTTATTATCAATGAATAATTTGAATGATCTCTCAATGTTAAACTACGCGAGATCGGTTATCTGATACTTAACCAAGCTAGGCTTCAACACTGGTGAAAGTACTTGTTCACCGCGAATTATAGTGCGACAGTCCGATTTACTTGAGCATCTTAAGCATCGTTAGGTTTAAATGAAAGTTATACACAGCTGTATATACATGCTCGTAAAGTGTATAACTGTATACTGTACGGTCACCCTCGTACAATTTTTAGTCTAAAATCAAAGGCCATCGACAATTACGCGTCAACGACTTTCCGAACTCATTAAAAAAATGAAAACGTGTCGATGAAAGTTGAAAGCGGCGACGGTTACACCGAAAAGGTTGGTCGGCTCGTAAAACTCAAAGGGAGATTCCTCGCGCGTGGGTGACACGTACGAAGCGTTATTTCCCTTTTATTTCCGGCAAGAGGGAGCGAAGCGATAAAATCGACTACCAAAGAGAAGAGAGTAAGGGCAGCTACCCTACGGCGAAAGGGGTGAAAATCGAAACCCCTCTGGCCTCCTGACCATTGTTCCATCCAGCCGGGCCACTTGCGATCCTCGTGCAACAATCATCTCGATCTGAAAACAATCACGATTTACCCCTCGTCTGGCTCGTACGCGGCGCTCCTAGCGCCGTCAACGCCCGCTACCTCGCTACGCAATTCTAATGACCGACAACGCTTAGTTAATTGACGACGCTGTGCTTGTGCACTCAGAAATCGATACTGCGAATCTGCGTTGCGTCATTTGCGATACGCGCGATGATATCTACCTATGCCATTAATATCTAGTGGACAGAAATTGAAATTGAAATTCTATCATAATTTTTCCTTAAATACATGATTCAGGTGTTCCGGACAGAAGCATTGCCGTTACGACTTTCCTACCGACCATCCGGGAGCCGCTTATTGGAACCCGGCTACTCTGCGGCTGAAATACGCTTGTATTCCTGGTAGGTATTTGCGTCTTCTATAGAATTCTAGAACTTATTGAAGAAAACTTGTATCCCGGTTTCTATGCCTCTGGCACATGTCACCTTCCCTAAAAAAAAAAACGTCCATTGATTTCTGGTCACGTTTAATCAATAATTTACGATCCATGCAAATACTTGCTCGTACAGATGCAAACTAGAGAGCGGATATTGCTTGCCGCAAGTCATACATAATGTAAATTTCTCTCTTTTATTACTGGGCATCTACTCGTTATATAAGAGTTAAAAACATATTCAACATGTAATTGTAAATTATATATGTGTTATAAGCACTCCTTGAATAAATATCTGGTTTCTGTAATTTTCCGAAGCTCATGAGATTGGCAAGAATATTAATGCACACCATGGAAAACGTGATTCAGAGCAGTTCTGGCCTGTAATTTCGTGGGATTAGAAGTTTTGCACGGCTGCTCTGTAATGGTACCAGTCCTTCCGGAAAACGACGTGTTCCTTAATAAACGGTACAAAAGGAATTCGTAAAGGACGTGCTAATCCCTTGTTTCTATGCGCAGACGCACGTTGCTGTCGTAAATCTAAACTAAAGTTCGTTGAATACAGAGCGAATGCTTCTCTTCGTTCCTACGTCAAATAATGCCCTTAAAGAAGATTTTTTCATAACATAACTAAAGCTAATTACTTCATGTATTAAAAATCTATTTGGTGCAATATTATTCTGCGTCAGCATGAATCAATTTTATCAAACGCCGTTATTTGCATCGCAAATGAGAAGGAGAAGAGTAAAGAAATTGCTGCTCGCAGCGGAAGATAAAAAGCGTTCATCGCGAAAAATTGATCCACTCGTGAAGCCATCAATCTTCAACGTCGGTTCAATAAAATCGCGGTAAGACCTCTCACCCCCACGGGGAGAACAAGAGACGGTGGTAATAAGAAGGAGAATCGCGGAACAACGGGCACATCTTTTTCATCGAGGGAGGTAAAGGGAGTGGGAAGGGCCACCCCTTCGACGCCCTACAACCGGTGTCAGCTCCCTCTCCAGGTGTACTCGTTCACCGGCCGGATTCACCCCTCCGTTTGAAAAGTAGGGCAAGGACATCCCCGATGGCAGAGTTGAATCGGGGCATAATAGTGGCCATAGTCACACTCGAAATCGACAAATGGACCGAGACGGATTCAGATGCAGATGTCGTCCCTATGTTTCCGCGTGCTGGCGTGACGAATCATACCCCCGAGAGGCGAAGGGTAGCGTCGATTGAACCGAGGAAAATAGATTTTATCGTATTCTCGGCGATACTTCCAATATTTTATTCTCCTGTCGCTCGGAGTGGAAAATTTAATTTCCTCGTCCCGGTACTTCATAAAAGGGGAATATTTATCGTTTGATAAGACGTCGCTTCTGTTTATCGAGTTTGTTGTTAAAGGAAATATTTGCGGTGCAATTTATACACTTTCCTATATACGGTCTACTATTTCAGAGGCCGCCGTGAGGAAATATTGCAACGAGGAAGTGAAGGTGGTCCCAGGGGAGGGCGGTTTCATAAATTCGCCAGGCTACCCGCTCTACTACCTCGGCGAGAATACGTGCGGATGGACCTTCAGATCGGCCCCTGGGCACAGGATTGTCCTGACGTTCCACGACCTGGATATCCGGGGTGAGTATCGATCCGAGGGATTACACGGTTTCGTCTCTACCGTTCCCGTTCACGTTCTCTCCCGCGCCTCTTCCCTTCCCTTCCCTTCCGTTCCGTTCGCGCAATTAACCTCGAGTGGATCGTTCCTGGAATCGATTGTTCAAGAAATCACGAGCGCTCCCTGATGCATACAGGAAATCGGCTTCGCGCGGATATTGCATTAATATTCCACCGTCCACTTGAAATCGGAAATTGATGAGCTCTAAACGTTGTACAGTACAGATAACGATTGTAATAAGCGAAATATTTTGTGAAAAATGTGCCAGCCCCGGAAGCGGACGGAAGCTGCGTGGACATAGTGAGAGTGCGAGAAAGAGGACGAACCCTGTTCGAATATTGCGGGACCGCGGCCGGTGCCAAGGTCGTGTCGGACTCGAACGTGATCACCCTCGACCTTGTCGCGACGAAGAGGCTATACACGGCACGAGGATTCTTCTTACAGCATCAAGGTTCGTTTGGCCATCCCTCTCCTCTCTTTCGGTGATTCATGATCTCATTTTCGTGAAATCGAAGATCTCTAGGTGATGGATGGAACCCGAGACAGTCGAACAGAGGTCTACAGTTGCGCAACGAACGTCTTTTGTTCCAGAAATAACGTTGACAACTCTCGGTGTTGTAGACATGATTCGACATACCGTTCGACGTCTCGTCTCTGTGATTTCCGTCCGTGATTAACGTCCGCATTCAGACGTCATCACGATCGAATCGCGCAATTGATCAAATACGCGTCTCAAGCTACCTTTGATTATCATGCATTTGGCACAGCCGTCGATTAATAATTAAAGTCACACACAATCCTTTAAAAGTATTACAGAATAGTCTTTAACAGATTGTATTTAAATGAAATACGTTTCACGTTTCTATTGTGTAATCTTGACAGTATAAATGTCAAGGAAAGATCGCTGAACGAGCACGTGATCGGAATAGTCAAAATGCGAATGTGTTAATTATACTTCAAATAAAAATAAATAGCGTACAGAAATGGTATATATATAATGGTATGTATATGAACGAAGCCTGCAACTCGGTGATATTGAATGTTTCAGTGTTGGGTTGTCCGGAAGTCTCAGCGCCAAACGGAAGTTACGTATTGAATGGCACTCTGACCTCGAGGACGTTCCTGTGTAAATCGGGTACGATATTCCCTGACAGCAAAGAAAGGACGAGGATACTTGAATGCGAAAATGGCAAGTGGAACGAGAGCGTCGTCGCTATACCGAGTTGCACAGGTAACCACCATGTCCTTTTTATCAACACAATCTCCTTCTCGTCTTGTGCATACAACGTATCGTTGACACAGAAAATTAACGTGGTACTGGCTGCTAGCTAGATAAAAGGGTTTCACCGAGTGTAGCCTTAAAACATAGTCAGTGGTTTAGTTATTTTATAATTATCTCTGATATTTATTATTGGAGTGAATGTTAAACAGAATTTCTGAGTGGGCGTTGCGTCCTAGTAATGAATTGCGAAACTGTTCACTTTGTGGACGAAATAGAACACATTTGGGTGAAGTATTTTGGGCGAAGATGTCAATTCGCATTTGAGATGGCAGATTTATTACTTTATCCATAATGCAAACGGATGGAAAGAGCGAACTAGAATTCCCATGAATAATCTGTATAATAAATTAAATATTAAAATTAATCCAAGGATGAGGTAGCGACCTCGTCCGGAGAACACTGTTGATTCACGGTGAATTTATGGTGAACGAGGCACTCGAGTTGCTCGTTACATCCCTCCGGGGGCCTCTCGGGAGCGGGTACCCATCAACCCGACCAAGCCTGATGGCTGGCCATCGTGCTCGAAAGGGGAAACCCGTAGTGGGAGATACCGTGGTATGCACATATCATGGCCAACG